CCTAAATAGAATAATAAGAGGCAAAGGGGCCCCAGTGAATAAACATTCAAACGTGGCATCATCTAGCTACCAAGTACAACTTCCCCAGAGAGAATTCCTTGGAAATTGGTGAAGGAATAAAAAAAACAACAAGTTAATGTTGAGGAATGGCTGCTTATGCGCAATGTGTGACCTCAGGTTCATGTGGCTTGCATTCCCCTCTTCGGCTTGATGGGATTTCATTTCCTCTTATTATTCTATTTAGGGGTTGAATAGGAGCGTTCCAAACACCAAGGCAGGATATAAATTGAGCCAGGCTGAAATGGCTCCATATTCCATTGAATTTGACACACGCTGCTTGCATAAAATATACCCACTCCAGGTTATAGCAGCAGTAGTGACTATTGTTTGTTGTGGTTCAGTTTGTCAGATCAGATGGCAACCATTTCGCTTTTAATCTCCCTGTTCCAGGCCCTGCTACGAGGGAAGGAGCAGTTAAGGAATGTAATGGATCAGATAATATTTTCAGGGTTTTTATTTCGTAAGCATCCAGCTATGAATCAGCAAAAAGCAAGCAACTTTATGCCCAAACTAATTTTTTTTTTAAAAAAAAAACTAGCATTTGTGGAAGCCGTTTGTTTCTTTGAATGGCTAATTCCAATTTCCGTAGATGTCAACTATTTTTATGAAGAATCTATCAATCCCGTATGAATGGGTGAAAGGCTGCAGCACAAGAGTCAGAAAACCCTTTCTAGGGTTGGAATAATAATTATTTTTTTGCATAGACTGTCAGAAAAAAATGACAAGCTTTGCTCTTTAATAAAAACACGACCGTGGTTCTCCAGAGATTTGCACCGGAATACTTTGTCGACTTTCTGTAAAACTGTATGAGATTTTGCCGTTCAAGGATTGTTCAGTGAGCACTTCCTGTGCCTTCTAGGAACTCGACATTTCATATTTTCAACTGTTGAATGAATTTGAACAAATTAACTCAAAGTCATTTCCCAAATGGAGACCATTATGTACCTAAAATGCACAATCTGGAGGGTTTGGACTTTAGAGCAGTGTTTCTCAACCTTGGCAACTTGAAGATGCCCGGACTTCAACTCCCAGCATTCGCTGGCTGGGGAATTCTGGGAGTTGAAGTCTGGACATCTTCAAGTTGCCAAGGTTGAAAAACACTGCTTTTAGAGCCTTGATGGCAGGTGGCATGCAGAACCCTCTCGCCAGCCACCGACTCAGCCCAGCTCCACCGCACATGCGCAGGCGCCTCCCACCAGCCAGCTGGTCTTCGGGTCTCTGCCATGCATGCTGGGTGGCACGCTCACATTGCATTTTGGGGCCCCGTTTTGGGCCTGGAAAGCTTCCTGCACCAACCTGGAAGCCAAAAATGGGTGGGGGACGGGACGGGATGCATGCACAGGAGTGTGTGTGTGTGTGCGTGAGGGAGCAGGGGGATCATGCACACATGCATGGGGGGGTCACACACAGATGCGCGGGGCCGGGTCAGACACACATTGCATTGCATTATGGGTGTGGGTTTTCGGCATGCAATGGCAAAACGTTTCTTTATGTTTATTTATTTATTTACTCTTATTTTGCAGCAGTAATTGTTTGGAAGTCTCATTAAAAATTGAATCCAAATGCTCTTGAAAGGGGGAAAAAGAGTCTACGGAATGTCAGAAATATAACAAAAGCTCTACACAAGTAACCATAAAGAGAAAAATGGGCTCAAAAGTGAATAAACAAGAGTTCTGGTAAACCTAGGAAAGAAAGTGAATCGAATAAAAAGTGCTGGGAAACAAAGCGTCCTAACCCAGTTAGGATGTTAGTGTAACATCCTGTTGTAGATTTTGTCTTATCCCAAAATAGCTTGCTCATATCCCTGTACAATTATGTTAATCCTACATCCTCGTTTTAAGCAATTTCTGATCCATAAGATGAACATTAAGATTAGCAATGCAATGCTAAAATGTTTGATGCCACTTACAAAGCATGTTAAAGGACGAATGGTTTAAATGGAAACATGAATTTGGAGAAGCCAGACTGATATTTTTCCTCAGCTCGTTCCAGAGTTTATATTTGTCTGCAGTGAAAAGGACGTATATTGAATTATTTTGCTATTTCTTCTCTCCTGGATATTTTTGATTGAACATTTTTGTGTAAAGACCCATTGCCTAGCTCCTAAAAATAAAGTTTACGAGCAGTTTCACGAGGTGTGCTATTTTTTTTTCTTGGCAGCCTGTGCCCAAAGATTGAGTGGCAAAGTGATGTCCTTTTAACGCGCATCCTGATAGGCCTATTTGCCACAAGACACGTCTGTGCATGCGCAGGAGGGAAGATCGCAAGTAAACTCGCTGTCCCAAAGGTGCTTTTTCAAGAGGCAACTGGGCTCTCTGGTTCTTCTTTGAAGAAGTTTTGCTTTTCATCTGAGAAGCTTCTTCAGCTCTGAAGACGTTTCTTGGATGAGAAGCGAAACGTCTTCAAAAGAAAAAACCAAGAAAGTCCTGAAATATTTTTGCTGGAGATTTTACCAGAAAATTATAATAAAAAAAATGTATATTTGATTATTCATGTTATAACAGCAGCTAGGATTGTATTTGCACAAAATTGGAAAAGTGAAGAGATCCCTACAGAGGAAAATGGGATTAGGAAAATATTAGAATGTGCAGAAATGAACAGATGACACTGGCTATCGAAGAGAAAGAACAAACTGATTGTTACATAATTTGGGAATCATTTATCGGCGGTTAGAGAATAGACATAAGAATTAATAATAAAAGAAGTTATCTAAAGTATAGAAAATATATTAATAGTTATATAGCTAATAGAGCTAAATAAATTGCAATGGGATTGTTATAATATTAGATACTTAAGTTATTGGAAATTAAGCTAAATTGGGATTAAATAATGAATCAGATTGTATATTTTATTGGTGGCACAAAGTATTTGTACCCAGGTGGCACACTGACTAATGGAAAATGGATTGTTTATATAAAAATAAAATTAAAATAATAAAAAAAAAGAAAAGAAAGTCCAGTTGCCTCTTGAAAAAAGCAAGTTTGGATGACTGAGAATCTCCACAGACAAGTAAAACTGGCTCTTTTAAAAAGATAAATGTAAAGTAAGCCTTTCTAACCAAGAGATGGCGCTAAAGAGCAACCAAACCACCCTCTTCTCTCTCCTTTAAATGTACAATGAAGGTAACTCCACATTTGTTGCATGATAAAACTTAACACTTTTTTCCTCCCCTTCGTTTCAATCCTGTCTGATTCTCGGAGATCGCCCGGGCAGGTCCCTGCAGTTGTCTTGGCCAGGTTTTTCAGAAGTGGTTTGCCATTCCCCCCTTTCCTAGGGCTGAGAGAAAGCGACTAGCAAACTGCGGCTCTGGAGCTGCATGTGGCTCTTTCCTCCCTCTGCTGTGGCTCCGTCACTGGTTGGCGCCACAATTTTGAGAGGCGCTTCTGGTGGGGGGGGGGGAGAGAAGCACAGTGCGCCAGGAGAAGACTCTATGGCAAGGGGAGGGGTTTCCAGTTGTCTCCACAATTGATAGGGCTTTCGGTTATGACAGGTAGAGGAAAAAGTACGCCGCACTAGGAGGAGACTCTATGGTGGGGAAACTGAACTTCTGGTCAGCTCCAGAATTGAACAGGGGGCTTCCGGTTAGGACCTTTGTGGCTCCCGGGGTTTTCTTTTCTGTGGGAAACGGGTCCAAATGGCTCTTGGAGTGTTTAAGTTTGCCGACCCCTGGACTAGTTGCTTTCATGCCAAGACAGGGCTGGAACTGATGGCCTCCCAGTTTCTAGGCTGATACCCTAACCACTTTCAAAACATGTATCATTTATAAATATAAACTGACCTCTGTTTGCAATGCTCGTTGTTCGGAATTTAATTGGCAAAGCTCAATAACCTCCCATAGAAAAACTGGTAGGATGCAGTTTTGATTTGCAGAACGAAGGTATCTTGGGTACACAGCACAGAATTGCCTTACTGTGGGTTACAGAATTTCACACATACAAACACACACACACACATACACACACACACGTCTCAACTTCGACCACTTTAAAATGTGTGGATCTCACCTTCAACATGCTGGCTGGGGAATTCTGGGAGTTGAGGTCAATGCCCTTAAAGTTGACTGGGGAATTCTGGGAACGCAGGGAATGCTAACTGGAGAATTCTAGGAGCTGGAAGTCCATGCCTTTAAAGCTCACTGGGGAATTCTGGGAGTGCAGGGAATGCTGGCTGGGGAATTCTGGGAGTTGAGGTCAACGCCTTTAAAGTTGACTGGGGAATTCTGGGAGCGTAGGGAACATTAGCTGGGAAATGCTAGGAGTTGAAGTTCAGATGTTTAAAGTTGACTGGGGAATTCTGGGAGCGTAGGGAACATTAGCTGGGAAATTCTAGGAGTTGAAGTCCACATGTTTAAAATTGACTGGGGAATTCTGGGTGTGCAGGGAATGCTGGCTGGGGAATTCTGGGAGTTGAGGTCAACACCTTTAAAGTTGACTAGGGAATTCTGGGAACACAGGCAATGCTAACTGGAGAATTCTAGGAACTGGAAGTCCATGCCTTTAAAGCTCACTGGGGCATTCTGGAAGTGTAGGGAATGATGGCTGGGGAATTCTGGGAGTTGAAGTCCACACCTTTAAAGTTGACTGGGGAATTCTGGGAACGTAGGGAGAATGCTAGTGAGGGAATTCTGGGAGTTGAAGTCCACACATTTTGTCTATCCTAGTATGTTTTCCCTGACTTCATCTCAGGAAAAAGACCACTAGTTCTCATCGTCCATTAGAATACGGTCCAAGATTCCCTGTGCGGCAGCAAGAATCCTGAGGAGGTGAACAACATTCAGCCCATTTCTTTAGCCGTTCAACAATCTAACTTTCAATCAATGCTTCATGAATAAGCATTGATTAGCTCAAACCAGGCTGATGTTTGTCATCTGTATGCTCAGGACTGTAGTTTATCCAAAGGCCTTCAGTTCCCCCAGGCATTTCAAATACATGTGAAAGCTATTAGACTTCTACTTCCAACAGATAGTATAAATACCTTAGCTGTAATCCTTTACGACAGTATTACTCAGTTGGAAAACCTGCCTATGATGGTTTCTGTTTTCGTAGCCCGAGGCTGCACTTGCTAAGGTTCGAATGGCTGAGAAGCTGCTATCCAAATGGAAATAATCAAACTGCCCTTTGCCAGCTTGGAAGCAAAACTTCAGTCCCCTTTTCCATGTCTTGGCAGTACAAGGAGATCCTCTCTGACGGCCCACTCCGCTTTAAGGTATAAACTTACCCCCAAAAGCTTTTTTAATTTCACACCCACTCAGGATTACAGGTGGGAGGTTTGCATTTGAGGGCTCTTCCAGGGATTTTCCATCCAAAAACACTGGGAGGATTTAGCCTAGATGAGAAGTCGGCAACCTTGAAACTGCTAACACCCCACTTCTGAGTTAACAGAAGTTAACTTCTGAAAGCCAGTGAGTGTATCTAGTGGGTGAAGGCAGTCGGCTACAAGCTAGGAGACAGTGAGTTCCAGTCCTGCCTTAAGCATGAAAGATGGTTAGGTGATTTTGGATCAACCATTAGGAGACAGTGAGTTCTAGTCCTGAAAAATTGCGGGTGCACTGAACTGGCAGTAATGCCGGCAACAACTCCCCCCTTTCGAATCCCTAGCGCCGCGTAACAGAGTGAGCTCCCGTTACTTCTCCCAGCTTCTGTCAACCTAGCCGTTCAAAAGCAGGTAAAAATACAAGGAAAAAAATAGGAACCACCTGCAGCAACTCCCCCGTTCGAATCCCTAGCGCCGCGTAACGGAGTGAGCTCCCGTTACTTGTCCCAGCTTCTGCCAACCTAGCCATTTGAAAGCAGGTAAAAATGCAAGTAAAAAAATAGGAACCACCTGCAGCAACTCCCCCGTTCGAATCCCTAGCGCCACGTAACGAGTGAGCTCCCGTTACTTCTCCCAGCTTCTGCCAACCTAGCCATTGAAAACAGGTAAAAATGCAAGTAAAAAAATAAGAACCACCTTTGGTGGGAAAATAACAGCGTTCTGCGCGGCCACTTGACCACGGAGACGTCTTCAGACAGCGCTGGCTCTTCGGCTTTGAAATGGAGATGAGCACTGCCCCCTGGTGTTGGGAATGACTAGCAGATATGTGCAAGGGGAACCTTTACCTATGATTGCCTGTCCTTTCTTCCCACTCATCCCACCTACCTGCTTTTACAGATGCCAGCCACGAAGGAAAGGAGGAGTGTTATCAGCGCACAGGCGGGGACGGAGACCTGTTTCAACAGTTCTACGATAATGCTGGCCTCCACCCCTTCAGACTGCCAGTGGGTGAGCCTGATGGGCCCCTCGTCATACCGGTCCTTCATGAACAGCAATTTGCTTTTGGCAACAATGTCAAACACAGCAGCGAGCTTGGAAGCGTCGGCTGCCTTCTGGCTGGAAGCTACCCCGGGATGGTTAGGCGGGTGAAGCTGCGACAACATCACTTTACGCTGGTCGTAATAGATCACGATGATTTCTTCGACGCCGAGACTGCTGCTGCTGCTGTTGCTGGATTCCTTCCAGGTGGCCAAACAGTTCCAAAACTTGCTGTCCTTTTGCCTGCTGAGTTGGATCCAGGGGCCCTGGGAAAAAATGGTGCCGAGGTCTTCCAGGAACCTTTGCAAATTCTGCTTTTCTTCGCTGTTAGTCCAAGAACCCAATACGGACAGTTGGACTTGGGTGGCATGTTGCATTTTAGAGAGGTACTGCTTGACTTGACCGGGAATCAAAGGGAAATGGATCACAGCCAGGATAACAATGGAGTTCTGTTCGGGAATCCATCGTCCAATCAGAAGGCCACTTTCAGCCGAAGCGCAGCAAAGAGGGAAAAAGACTTTAAACGCCATGATGTAGAAATCTGAAAGGTATAAGGGAACAGAAAAACAAAATGAAATAAACAAGCTGCTTTCTGAATCAGTGCACTGGAGCAAATTAAGAGAGTTTAAGCCTTCAACTAACTGAAGGAAGTACTTGTTGTGACCTGCCAGCAGAGCTGACAGCAGATTCAGACAGTGAGGAGGTTGGGGAGGAACCTGGGCCAGTCCTGGAGACCGGGGAAGGCTCTGAGAAGGAGTCTGTGTCAGAGGCAGAGAGGGGGCCAGAGCCCTATGCCAGTTATCAGCTGCCTTCAGAGTCAGACATCAGTGAGGCAGCTGAACAGCTGGACCCTGTTCCCAGTCGGCGTATGCAAAATTGCCAAATGAAGGGAACAGCTAAAGGACAGGGGTCAACTTGGGAGTAAGGCCAGATGATGAATGGCCCCTCCCAGAGGAAATAAAAGAGGAGCGAAAGGGGAGTGGAGTTTGCAGGAGACAATAGTTCGCTTAATTGGTTTGTGACTCCCCGAGACTCCTTGCCACGTTTTGCAGATATTGGCCTGGCAGCTCTCCAAGGCAGATGAGGTCTGTGACCGTAAATCCCCCCTTGAAAGACTTNAGGCCAGATGATGAATGGCCCCTCCCAGAGGAAATAAAAGAGGAGCGAAAGGGGAGTGGAGTTTGCAGGAGACAATAGTTCGCTTAATTGGTTTGTGACTCCCCGAGACTCCTTGCCACGTTTTGCAGATATTGGCCTGGCAGCTCTCCAAGGCAGATGAGGTCTGTGACCGTAAATCCCCCCTTGAAAGACTTTGCTGAAGGTGAATGAGCAGAATTCACAGCAAATTAATAAAAGGTTTTTTTGTTGGGACCAGGAGTTTGCTTTATGCTCTTGGGAAGCCTAAATCAGAACAGTATTTTCCTTGCTGTTTCTATAGAGAGTATGTGACAGGAGAACAGCTGTATTATTCAAAAACACACACTCTCCCTCTCCCCCCCCCCTCTCAATCCAATCTACTTTACAGGGTTCTTTGTGAGGAAAAAGAGGAGATGGGAACATTATGTACGCTTTCTTGAGTTGTACAACGATGGAATATAAATATAACAAAATAAATATGTTAAACAGCCATCTCTCAGATAATCACTTATTACAGGACAAAGGGGAGCTAAAGGGTCTCCAATTGTTATTATTTTCCAACTATGAAATGTGGATAAAGTGGCATTTCTCTGTACAGCTGCCACGGAAACAATTAACTTCATTAATCAGATGATTAAACTAAACAAGCACAAGGGCTGCCACGGCGGATTAGATTAATGAATCAGCTCCAAAGCCAGTTGCAACTGAATAGTTCAGAACTCAAGTTCTCTTGAAAGGAAGAAAACTGGGTGGTCTAATTAAAAGCAAGCATTTCATCTATTAAGTCAAATGCTGGGGTTTCTTTTTATACTCCAAAGGCATTTGAAGTCACTATGCTGATGATGCCACTCTCAAAAACAATACAGGATTCCTTTCTAAATCCCAGCATAATGTGGGGTGTTACGTACCCACATTTCTGCAGTTCAAAAAAGCCATTACGTACTTAATGGGAAGTTTCTATCGAGAGCCCAGCTGGAGTACCCAGCGTTTAATCGTGGAAGGCTCCAATGTCTTTAGCAATAGCCTGATTGCCCTGCATCCCACCCCCTCAAAATAGTACCTTAATGGCTTTCATTATCAGCAGCTTAATTTCATCAGTACAGTCCTACAGAGAAGGCACAAAACAGCAGTCACAAAAGATCTCTAGGGCAGTTTTGTTACTCTCCCAGTTACTGTACTTTTTACCAGCAATCCAGTTTTTCCCAAATTCCTGCTGCTTTCTTCTTGCTGGCAGATTCTTGTGAGATCCAGCAGCCGGAAGATAAGACACTATTTAGCTGTTGACAAGGTCACTATTGCCTTGGGTGTTCCAAAAGGAGGCTAGTCCACATTGTGCCTGCTACATGACACAGACTTAGCCACCCCATGAGTAACTGCTCATACATAATTTCAATTTTATACCCAATTGTATCCATCCCTTGTGCTGTGCGTTTTTAAAAACAATTCAACTGCTCTGATATTTTATATTTTGATAGACATTTTATATGCAGTTTTTGTGATTTTTTTTACAAAATAGTATAGAAAAAAGGTAAAGGTTCCCCCTTGCACATATGTGCTGTTTATTCCTGACTCTAGGGGGCGGTGTTCATCTCCATTTCAAAGCCAAAGAACCAGCGCTGTCCGAGGACATCTCTGTGGTCATGTGGCCGGCATGACTAAATGCTGAAGGTGCACGGAACACTGTTACCTTCCCACCAAAGGTGGTTCCTATTTTTCTACTTGCATTTTTACGTGCTTTCAAACTGTTATGTTGGCAGAAGCCGGGACAAGTCATGAGAGCTCACCCTGTTATGCGGCGCTAGGGGATTTGAACTGCCAAACTGCCGACCTTTCTGATCAACAAACTCAGCGTCTTAGCCACCGAGCCACTGCGTCCCGTAAAATAGAAACAACATAAATACAAAAAATGCAAACAACATAAATAGTATAAAGAATAATCCCTATATAAGTAATTAGGGAAAAAGAAAAACTAGTCATGTGCGTGAAGTGATTATGGTTGTATTTAAGAGTCTGACAGCCCAAAGAGAGAACCTATTTAAATAAATAAATAATAAGCAAGCAGCAATCCAACACGCTTAGCCACCACTTACCTCCCTTCTAACAAGTAAATTGCCTTTTAGGTTTCTGTATCAGAAGAACAAGGAGAAGAGAAGTAGTTTAAAAAAACCCTAGAGATTGTGGCTGTGGCATGTAGGAGGTTTTACGAAGGACTGCAGGATTTCCTAGGTGGAAAGCACGAAAGAGGGACAGTATCAACTTGTTTGAATTCTCCGCCCCAATCGACCACTCTGTTTTCACTCTAAAATCCAAGGTGACATCCGAGCATGTGACACGTGACCTTGGAACGAATGAACTCTTATCTTTTTAAGTAACTTAAATAACAAAACATAAACATTACAGTCAATAAGACCAGTTTACAGTATCCAGCCGCCTGCTGTCCTTCAGCACCATTCCAAGGTTGTTGTGCAAAAACAAACCCTCCTGTGGGCTGTTTTTATAAGTCCAATCAGCAGAATGGAAATGTTAGTTTAAAGCAGGTAGACGGAATAGAATAGAACAGAACAGAATAGAACAGAACAGAACAGAATTCTTTATTGGCCAAGTGTGATTGGACACACAAGGAATTTGTCTTTGGTGCATAAGCTCTCAGTGTACACAAGGAGAATAAAATACATTCATCAAGAATGAAAGATGTAACACTTAGTGGTAGTCAAAGTTACTAATAAGCTATCAAATAGTACTAGGAAACAAATAAAAACTATATAAATTGAAAGATACAAGCAACAGTTATAGTTATAGTCATAAGTGGGAAGAGATAGATACTAGGAAGAAAGAGAAGAATAATAGTAATACAATCTTAGTCAATTATTTGACAGTGTTGAGGGAATTATTTGTTTAGCAGAGTGATGGCATTTTGGGGGGGGGGGAACTGTCCATGTGTCTAGTTGTTCTGGTGTGCAGTGCCCTATAGCCTTGTTTTGAGGGCAGAGGTTGAAATAATTTATGTCCAGGATGCGAGGGGTCTGCAGTTATTTTCACAGCCCTCTTTTTGACTCTGTGGTCCTCAATGGAAGGCAGGTCGGCAGCAATTGTCGCAATACCCTTGAAGTCTGTGTTTGTCTTGTTGGGTTGCAGAGCCAAACCAGACCGTTATGGAGGTGCAGATGACAGACTCAATAATTCCTCTGTAGAACTGAATCAGCAGCTCTTTGGGCAGTTTGAGCTTTCTGAGCTAGATTGGAAATCAGGTAGGTTGGAAAGCATATATGCAGAAAAGGAAGCTGTTGCCGACTTCCTTTCTGTTAAAATAAAGTACAGCTGATCTCTGACATTTTCCCCTGGAAAAGGGGACAATTCATTTGCATTGAAAATCCCTTGACTTACCCAGGGAAGAAAAAAAAAACCACCAGCCTGTCAAATAGTGTTGCAGGAGGCAGTGTCTGTTTATGGATGAATTCCCAGTCTCTTGAGGCAGAAAAGAGGTGTCTGGTTGATACATGTTCTTTACCATGTATATGGAATTTATAAGAAGAGAAGGACTACAATTTCTGGGACGGGGCTATTTCCTCTTCAGCCCACATTCACTTAGGAATGTGGGGCAGCTGTCAGTGTGGGTAAATGTTGGAGAGTCAATTGATCTCCAGACTTAGAAGGAAGAAACAGGAATAAGATTCACAGTGCGGCAACTTTTAGGAGTAGCAAGCACTGAAAAACCTTATACACCCCGTTGCTTAGCTCAGAGGTCAGGAACCCACAACTCTGGAGCTGCATGTGGCTCTTTCATCCCTCTGCTGTGGCTCCCTGAGACCGGTCAGCTCCACAATTGATAGGGCTTAGGCTGAATGGTTAGGACAGGGAGAGGAAAAAGAATGCTGAACTAGGAGGAGACTCTATGGTGGAGAAACCAGACTTCCGATCGGCTCCAGAATTGAATGGGGGGTTTTCTGGATGTGGCTCTTTGAGTGTTTAATGTTACTGACCCCTGGCTTAGCTGAAGAGATCAACTGCCAGAAAAGTAAGTCATTGGGGGGGAGGAATAAACATTAGACGTATTTGTGCTTTGTAAAATTGTTTCTCTGCCACAGGGCTATTTTTCTGTAAAATATTGGTACTTAAACACGTGAGCACTAATATTGGTGTTTCATTCTACTCAAGCCTACCCTGTATATATTGCAACCGGATCCCCATGTCTGTTTTTTCCCAGCCACAACATATATGCCAGGGAAACTCTTGCAAAAAGAAAGTGATCAACTGAAGACGTAAAAAAAAAATCACACTGTTCACTATGTCTTACTGTAGAAATGCCTCCATGGGAAAACAAGAAACTGGGTATTTTACGTTTTGCTGGCAATGTATGCTTTCCAACCTAACTGATTTCCAATCTAGCTCAGAAAGCTCAAACTGCCCAAAGAGCTGCTGATTCAGTTCTACAGAGG